CAATAACTGAGTTGGACGGGACCTTGGAGGTCTTCTAGTCCAACCCCCTGCTCAAGCAGGAGATCCTATACCATTCCAGACAAAAGGTTGTCCAATCTCTTCTTTCAAATCCTCCAGTGATGGAGCACCCACAACTTCTGAAGGCAAGCCATTCCACTAGTTAATTGTTCAAAACTGACAGGAAATTTCTCCTTAGTTCCAGGTTGCTTCTCTCCTTGATTAGTTTCCATCCATTGCTCCTTGTCCTGCCCTCAGGGGCTTTGGAGAAGAGGTTGACTCCCTCTTCTTTGGGGCAGCCCCTGAGATATTGGAAGAGTGCTATCGTGTCCCCTCTAGTCCTTCTTTTCATTAAACTAGATGTTCCCAATTCCAGCAACCATTCGTCGTATTTTTGAGCCTCCAGTCCCCTCATCCTCTTTGTTGCTCTTCTCTGCACTCTTTCCAGAGTCTCAACATCTTTTTTTCTATCGTGGCAACCAAAACTGGACCCAGTCTTCCAAGTGGATTGATGAAGCCTCTCTCTAAAAGGCTTCCTGGCCACCCACCCTGCTTTCATGTGGACACGAAATAGCAATGGGGAGAAACTTGTGGTACGTGTATCACTGGTGGTTTTCATTGCAGGAATCGGAAGCGGTCAGCAAAGTCCCAAATTCTCTTCTTAATACAGACCCACCTAGCTTTATTGTGCTTTGCAGATATTGCATTTTTTACAAGAAACTCCACCAGCCGGAAGGTTACAACCCCTTGAAACATCAGCTTAGTAGTTTTTTAGCAATAAAGTAGTTTTTCTTTTAATTAAGGTATGTGAATTTTTGCATCACATGTAATGCTTCTGCACCTTTAACAGACTACAGGACAGCGTAAATGTAACTTTTATATGCACCAGGAAACCCCAAAATGTGCGTGACTGACTTTATTGCAATATTTGCTTTATTGCAGCGGTCTGGAACTGAATCTGCCGTCTCTCCCAGGTAGGCCTGTCTAAGCAAGATATATGCACACCAGGGTGCAGGGAACAAAATCAAAGGTAGCCAGCATGATGTGATTGAAGCTCGGCCTAGTTTTTGTGCGTTCTGTGTGTGTACACATACAAAACAGCATGGCTGGCTGGGGAATTCTGGGAGTTGAAGGCCACACGTCTTATAGTGGCCGAGGTTGGAGACCCCTGGTCTACTTTCTCATCTTCCCCAGACCCCCTTGAGCGCCCTAGCTGGGGAAAAGTTGAGTCAGTCCATCAGGGGGAAAAAACCCCTTTTAATAATGCAAAGATCCATCCCCTCATTTCTCCTCCAGGCTCCTGCCTATCCAGATGTTCCTTTGATTGATGTCCCTCAATCAAATCCCCAGCAGATAATGAACAGCTGTCCTGTCTGTGTGGACCCAGGTCCTATTTTGTTTTCTACCAGAATAAAGTCCTCTACCCAGATGGCCATGGAGGTGAGGCTTAAAAAGAGGTGGATCGTGTCTCCTGCAACGTCCTTTCCAAAGGTGTCACAGAAGGAGCAGAGTTATCAGAACAGAACAGCAGAGTTGGAAGGGATCTTGGAGGTCTTCTAGTCCAGCCCCCCGCTCAGGCAGGAGACCTTATGTCCTTTCAGACAAATGGTTGTCCAATCTCTTCTTTAAAAATGTTGGAGCACCCACAACTTCTGGAGACAAGTCATTCCATTAATTAATTGTCCTCACTGTTAGGAAATTTCTCCTTAGTTCCAGGTTGCTCTTCTCCTTGGTTAGCTTCCATCCATTCTTTCTCGTCCTGCCTTCTGGTGCTTTGACCCCCCTCTTCTTTGTGGCAGCCCCTCAGAATTGGGAAGACTACTAACATGTCACCCCTAGTACTCTTCGTGATACTAGAGATACTTTTGGAAACTTCATACTCAGTTCCTGCAACCATTCTTCATATGTTTTAGTCTCCGGTCCCCTCATCCTCTTTGTTGCTCTTCTCTGCACTCTTTCCAGAGTCTCAGCATCTTTTTTACATCGTGGCCACCAAAACTGGATGCAGGATTCCAAGTGGGGGCTTACCAAGGCCTTATCAAGTGGCATCATTAAGATCATGATTGGATGTAGGAAGGGTGCTGTCACGGAGGATACCTCACTCTTTCCTTATGTTCTTTCTTGGGCAGATCAGACGATGGTTTTGAATCATGTTCCATATGGGGTGTTATTCCTGTGAAGGAGGGTGAACCCCAAGGGAATAAAAAATAAATTTCTGATGCCTGGAACCCCAAAAGAAGGGGAAAATATGGTGATGACGTGGTTCTGGAATTGCAAGATGGGATTTGGAGGTGCCACAAATAATTTTAGGCCTCCTGGTGCACAGTTTTACCATAGATTGTGAGAACCAAAGCATTGTGTAAAGTGATCTTTGGCCCTTTGGGTGGACCTAGTGTGTTGCGTCCACTTGGAATTGTGGGAGGGGGAAAGAGACAGACCCACACTCATGGCAGTGTTGCACAAACTTTGTGAATTATATCATATGCCTCAGCCATAGCACCTGGTGCTGTCTTTGAGACTGATAGAAAAGAACAGCCTTATGGCGTCTTGCATTGCAGGCACTGTGCTTGGTGCTTGGTGGATTCCTGTGTCCATTTCAGTAGTTGGATTTAACCCTGAAAGCCCTCAGGTATCTCCAGGAGTCTCTCCTCTAGTGAGAATCAACCATCTGGGGTGCTCTTCTCAATTGAAGATCTTGGGGTTCATTATATGTGAGAATTGAGATTGATGGGGCCCTGGAAGTGAAGTGGGGCCCTCCCCCTATGGAACAAGTTCCTCTAGACTAGTGTTCCTCAATGTTGGCCACTTTAAGATGTGTGGACTTCAACTCCCAGAATGCCCCAGCCAGGCTTGCTGGATGGGGCATTCTGGGAGTTGAAGTCCACTCATTTTAAGGTAGCCATGGTAGAGAACCACTGACCTAGTCCTATACCTACAAATACTGAGAGAGGGGGAATCCCAGCCAGCAGAGTTCTGGGAGTGGAAGTCCACCCACGCTGGCTGGGGAATTCTGGGAGTTGGAGTCCACCCGTGTTAAAGTGGCCGATGTTGAGGAATCCTGCTGTATTTATTTATTTATTTATTTATTTATTTATTTATTTATTTATTTATTTATTAAATTTATATACCGCCCTATTCCTAAGGGACTCAGGGCGGTGAACAGCGAACGATAAAAATACATGTAATACAAACGTTAATAATAAAAAACCAATTAAAATATACTAAACATTCTGGTCCTAGATAATTCAAGACATCCCAGTTTAAAATAAAATCAAAAAGCAATATAAAGGGAAAGTTAGGCCAGGCCGGCCTGCTGAAACAGGAATGTTTTGAGGGCACGGCGGAAAGTGCGCAGATCCGGAATCTTCTGTATCTCTGGGGGGAGCTCGTTCCAAGAAGGTAGAAGGTAGACTGGCTCAACTCTTGTCCCGTAGGGTGAAGATTGAAGAAGGGATTAATTTTCAGGTTTGTGGCTGATGTTGCCCAGGGTTGAATGGGCACCTGGAATTATTAGCACAGTATATTCATCATTACACTGTTTTTTTCTTTATTTATACTATTTTCTTTCTGTGTTTTATTATTATGAGCCCCTGCGTGTTGCAAGATTTGGCAGGAGGCCGATAATATGATTCATTCCATTTGTGTAAATTTAATGATGCATGGGAATAAAATTGTAGCTTGTATCACGTGCCCAGGATTCGAATTGAGCCCATTATGTGACTCAAGATACACAACTGCCCTCTGGGACCTTTTGGTCTGCAACTCTACGGTCAGCCACCCTCTGTGCCACGGCGGCTGCCTTGTGGGTCAGCATCCCACCCACCCCCATCCCCACCCCCAGCTCTGGATGCTCCAGACCGGATCCACGTGGACTTTCAGAAAGACCAAAAGCTGGTTGCCCCTCAGGCCCGTGGGCTGGGCGGTGAGATGATCCTGGTTGGTTCACCCTCTTGCTTGGTTGTTGTTTCTTATTGATTCCAGACGAATGATCTCGCTGGACCCCTGACACGAGTTCATTGATGGACACTGATTGCAATCTCTTCTTTTAATTAGAGCTGCTTTCTGGTTTTAGTTTCTTATTAGCTGCCCCAAGGCACCACGGTGAAGAGAGAGGGAGAGAGGAGAGAAGAAAAAGGGAGGGAGGGAGGGAGGGAGGGAGGGAGGAAGGAAGGAAAAGGGAGGAAAATGAAGAAGGAAGGGAAGGAAGGAAGGAAAGGGAGGGAGGGAGGAAAAGGAAGAAGGGAAGGAAGGAAGGAAAGAAAAAGAGGAAGGAAAGAAAGAAAAAGAAGGAAGGAAGGAAGGAAGGAAGGAAGGAAGGAAGGAAGGAAGGAAGGAAGGAAGGAAGGAAGGAGCCGCCCATCTGGGGGGGGGGTCCCCCTGCTTTTGCTTTTTTCATAAGGACTGGAATCCTTCTATGGAGAGGAAAAGGGCCCCATCCTCCTTTGCCTAGCCCAGTGATGGCTAACCTTTTTGCCGTTGCGTGCCAAAAGCGGGGGGTTGCACACATGCGTGCCCACACCCATAATTCAGTGTCCCCCGCCCTGCGCCCTGCCTCCACCCCCACGCATGTGCAGGCAACCCCCCACGCTCCCCTCGCTTTTGGCACGCAACGGCAAAAAGGTTACCGGTGGGCCCGGAAGGCCCATTTTTCACCCTCCCCAGGCTCCAGAGGCTTTTTTGGAGCCTGGGTAGGGCAAAAATGGCCTTCCCCCCAAAGCCCTCCGGAGGCAGGAAACGGTCCATTTCCTGACTTCCGTTGGGCCCAGAAGGCCCGAAAATCAGCTAACCGGCCCGTGCATGTGCCCACAGATATGACTCCGCGTGCCACCTGTGGCAAACGTGCTATAGGTTCACCATCACAGGCCTAGCCCTTCCCTCTCACTCCGTGGTCCACATCCCCCCTGGGGGTGCCCGTGGTGCCCCTCTTTCCTCCTCCTGCCCTTCCCTCTTCTGCTGTGCCCACAAGGCTGACCCCCGGCTTCCGTGTCTCTTTGTCTCCCCAGATGGCTTCCCCCGTGCCCGCAGCCTGCTGTGTGGTGTTCGCCGCCATGGTGGTAGTCTACGCTCAGAAGCACAGCCAGCAAGGTGAGTGGTCAGGGTCTCCTCTTCCTCCTCCTCCTCGTCTCTCTCCCCCACCCCCCAAACAAGAGGCCTCTCTGCTTCTCAGTCTTTGGGGTATTGGGGTGTTTGGGAAGGTGGGCGCAGTGGTTCTGCCAACTGCCAGGGCAGGGACTGGTTCTTCTGGATCCAGAGACAAAGAGCTCTCCAGCAGACGAAGGAATTTCAAGCTTGATTTGTAGCTCAAGCACAGAGAGGGAGGGAGGGAGGGAGAAAAAGGGAAGGATGAAAGGATGGAAGAAAGCATGACTGGAGAAACAAATACCCACCCTGCAAAATGCCCAAATCTCTTACAGGCTGCCGGTTGCTCCTTAACGACAGCCCAAGGGTGTCCATTTCCCACATGATAGATAGTCCTCGACACAGGACCAGCCATTCAACAACTGTTCAGAGCTATGGCGGTCCTGAAACAAGGGACTTGTGACCAGTCCTCACACTTAGGACCAGAAGAGCGCCCCCACCAGCATGTGATCAAATTTTGAGTGTTTTAAAATGATTGCATTGTCCTGGGGGGGAGGGGGGTGTCCCATAAATGCTATTCCCAGGGGGCTTTTGTCAAGTAAAGGAGAAGCTGGATTCACTTAACAACCATGTGATTCATTTAACAACCACAGTGGTTCACTTAAAGACTGCAGCACAAAAGGTGGTAAACAATGCCGGCTGGCGGGCCCACGCGGGAGGGTCTTCTCTGTGGCTGCCCCGGCTCTCTGGAACCAGTTACCTCCTGAGGTCCGGACCGCCCCCACCCAATTGGCCTCCCGGAAAGCGGTGAAGAATCTGGCTCTTCTGGCAGGCCTGGGGCCGTTGATCTAACTAACTAACTAACTAACTAACTAACTAACTAACTAACTAACTAAATAAATAAATAAATAAATAAATAAATAAATAAATAAATAAATAAACAAACAAACAAACAAACAAACAAATAAATAAATAAGGCACGACTCACTTAAAGACCGCTTAGCAAAGGAGATTCTGGTGCCAGATTGTGGACGTAAGTCGAGGACTACCTGTACCCAATGCTGGGTTCTGGGGAGACCTTCCCCAAAACAATTGTGGTCATAAGTCGAGGACTATCTGTACTCAGTCCTGGGTTCTGTGCAGAAGGTCCCAACAACCAAACGACAACGCCACAATTTTAAGCAAAACCTGCCTGGCCCCAGGACCTCATGGCCGTGTTTAAAAATACCATTTTTATTAATTTATCGAAGTATAAAATACAAAGAGAAGTTTTAAAAAGCAATAGGAAACTTTGGGGAGGGGGGAGGGAAAAAAGAGGAAGCAGAAAGAAGGAAATAGAAAGAAAAAGGCAAAAAATTCCAACTCTCTTTAGCCCAGAAGGTAACAACATTATAAACTCAACTTTTTAGTACTTTTAGACAGCAGCACATACTAGCCATTTCTAGACCTTATTATTAATTAATATTAATTTCTCTTTGTATTTTATGGTTTGATAAACTAATTTTTAAAAAAGGGTATTTTTAAAAAGAGACTGCGAGACCATGACCTTCGCCGGCTGACAAATGATTTTGAAATGGAAATCAAAACTTTTTGAAACTTTCACAGCTGGAAAAACTTTAAAGCTACCTTTATTCACCAAGCAAGGTTTTTAATAAACAAACAAACCCAAGCAGACAGGTTGAAAAGGAGCTCTAAACTTCTAGAAGTTTCTTAAATAGGGAGGAGAAATCAAAATGTCTCACTGAGCTCCTCGCGGTGACCAGGGTCTTCGGCATGGCCACTGCACCACAGGTGTGCGGTGTGAGAGAGAGAGAGAGAGAGAGAGGCAGATGCTTTTTTTCCAGGCGTCTGTTGCAGAAAAGTGATGGGAGGAAATTATGTTTCTTGGGGGTTATTGTTATATTTATTGGTGCAGCGCCCTGGCTGAAGATAACAAATTAGCCAGGCTGCATGGATTGGTGTAAATAACTGTCTCCAACTATTTATTGAAGCCTGCTCTATTATTGCAGTTTTTACCGCGTTTTATTTAATGTGTCATCCGGCATTGTCATAATTCTTAACAATCAGCCTTGGCCCCAGGAATTAAAGAGGAGCAGCTGGAACAGGGCCTCTCCCTCCCTCTGTCCAAAGAGGCGGCAGATCGTAAAATTAATAAACGGCAATAACAATAAGTAATAATGAATAAGAGATTAATAGGGACAGGCAGATTAAAACAATGTGTTTCAAATCATGGGAAAGGAAGAGGGGCAGAAGCCGCTAGAAAAAGACTCAGGTGGGGTCCTGGAGAAATGCAGGGAGGCTTGCAAAGATTGAGTTCCTTGGATGGCCACAATTTAGGCCCCAAATCTACGTTGCTAAGTGAGACAACAGTTGAGTTTTGCCTCTTTTTACGTCCGTTCTTGCCATGGTTGTTAAGTGAATCGTTGCATTTGTTAGTGACACAGTTCTTAAGTGAACCTAGCTTCCCCGTTGTCAGAAGGTTGCAAAGACTGATCACGTGACCCTGCGACCGTCATAAATCTGACTCAGTTGCCAAGTGGCCAAATTCTGATCACGTGACCTCGGAGACGCTTCAATGGTCGTAAGTGTGAAAAATGGTCGTAATTCACGTTTTTTCAATGCCGTTGTAACTTCAATGGTCACTAAATGAACTTTTGTAAGAGAAAGACTCCCTGTAAGGACTTGTGCAGCACCAGATGGTCCCTTCTGGTGCAGAACCTCGCTGGATTTAGTGTCCTCAGGGCATTGCCTGCCAACTGAATACAGAATAACAGGGTTGGAAGGGAACTTGGAGGCCTTCTAGTCCAACCCCCTGCTCAGGCAGGAAACTCTCTACCATTTCAGGCAAATGCCTGTCCAATTTCTTCTTAAAAGCCTCCAGTGATGGAGCATTCACAACTTCTGGAGGCAAGTTGTTCCACTGGTTGATTTTTCCCACTGTCAGGAAATTTCTCCTTAGTTCTAGGTTGCTTCTCTCCTTGAGGTTGAGCCCCTCTTCTTTGTGGCAACCCCTCAAATATTGGAAGACTGCTATCAGGTCCCCCCTAGATCTTCTCTTCACTAGACTAGCCAAACCCAAGAAAAACCAAATGCACAGGTACAGCAGAGGTAGTTCCTGGCTGAATAGTCTTGAGAGGGACCTTGGAGTCCTAGTGGACAATCCCTTCAATAGGAGCCAGCCGTGTGCGGCAGCTGCCAAAAAAGCCAACGCAGTTCTAAGTAGCATTAAGAGAGAGATAAAATCAAGATCAGGTGAGGTGTTAATACCACTTTATAAGGCCACACTTGGAATTATGGAGGTTCAAATGGAGGAGCTGCACATTTGAACCTCCATAATCCCCAGCCAGAAGCTCATCTGCTACCTGTCAACCTTCTTGAGCAAAAGTGAAAAGCAGATGACGGACAGGTCACCATTTCTTCCTGCAGTCTTTGTTCTCCTCCATCCATGTCTCCTCTCCCTCTTTGCTTTTTCTGCTACTCAGAATCCGGTTCCTGTAATTTGAGTGTGTGCGTCCACCCCAGGAGAAGTCCTGCCTTCTACCATGATTTCTCCATTTTTAACAGAGTAATTCTACCGTTATTGATCCAACTCCTTGGCTGAATTAACTCACCTTTAAATAATAATTAGGTTTTCTCCCCTGAAAGCAGAGAGGCGGGAGGTAAACAGCATTGGAAATGAAGGACCTTGTTGGGGCACCTGGCCAGGTGGACAGATTTATTTTCATTAACCTCTAACGCAGTGTTTCTCAACCTTGGTAGCTTGAAGATGGGTGGACTTCAACTCTCAGAATCCCCCAGCCAGCAGCGCTGGCTGGGGGATTCTGGGAGTTGAAGTCCACCCATCTTCAAGCTACCAAGGTTGAGAAACACTGCTCTAACAAAAATTTAGCCTTCCATTCAATAACAAATACCGCCCAGCAAAGTAATTTATTTCCTCTAGACTCCAAATTTTTTTAATTTTAACCCGCATACATTTTAAACGTATTTATTGCCTTGCCCCTGATTTAATGGATTAATAAAGATACACATATATTACTATATTAAATATGGGTTATCGACTGCATTTGAGCATCCCTGGTTTCCTTCGTAAGACAGTCTACGTCTATATATTTTATTTTGTGCGTAGAAAGATATTTTTTAATGAGGAGGGGGCTGTCCCGGGGTCAGTGGGGGCACCATAGATTATGAACATCTGATCTAAGGGCCCCTTTGCTACCCTGAATTTATGATCTGCAGTTGGGCCCTTTCGGAAGATGCTCCTGTTAAAGATGCAAGAGGGAGAAGGAGCTCCCCTCCCTCAGAGCTGGGCTTGGTCCACCCTCTGTCCATGCTCAGAGACATCTGTAGGCTGATCTCTGCTCCCCTGCATAGAAAGGTGGGTATAAAACCGATCAGTTCACATCCACAGCAGAAAAAAAAATGTCCTTTTGCAACCTGCGGAAAGAAAGCTTCTTTTTCTTTTATTCTTCAAAGCACCTGAGGGCAGGACAAGAAGCAATGGGTGGAAACTAATCAAGGAGAGAAGCAACCTTGAACTAAGGAAAAATTTCCTGACAGTGAGAACAATTAATCAGTGGAACAAATTGCCTCCAGAAGTTGTGAATGCTCCAACACTGGAAGTTTTTAAGAAGAGATTGGCCAACCATTTGTCTGAAGTGATGTAGGGTCTCCTGCCTAAGCAGGGGGTTGAACTAGAAGACCTCCAGGGTCCTACCCTCAGGTGCTTTGGAGAATAGCTTGACTCCCTCTTCTTTGTGGCAAGTCTGAGATATTGGAACACCGCTATCATGTCATTCCTGGTCCTCCTTTTCATTAAACTAGACATACCCAGTTCCTGCAACCATTCTTCATATGTTTTAGCCTCCAGCCCCCTAATCCTCTTTGTTGCGCTTCTCTGCACTCTTTCTAGAGTCTCCACATCTTTTTTTACATCGTGGCGACCAAAACTGAATGCAATATTCCAAGTGTGGCCTTACCAAGGCCTTATAAAATGATATTAACACTTC